TACTACATAGGAGTCCCACAAACCTGAAGACTACATTGACTTTTGTACATACCAGTGTGCGACAGAGCTGCAGGGAGTAGTGACCCATTTTTGTGGTTATGTTGTCGTAGTTTTGCCTAGGGGGGCATATGGGGGAGGGAATGCTGTCACCTCCAGGTAGGTGTTTGTCCCCCTGTGTGCTGAGAGTGTCAGGTTCTTGTCCAGTTCTGGCATTTAGGTCGCCACAGACTAGTACAGGTCCCTGGGTATGGAAATTATTGATTTCCCCCTCCAGGATGGAGAAGCTTGTCTTCATTAAAGTATGGGGATTCTAGTGGGGGGATATAGGTAGCACACAGGAGGACATTTTTCTCAGTTGAGATAATTTCCTTTTGAATTTCTAGCCAAATGTAAAATGTTCCTGTTTTGATTAATTTAATAGAGTGAGTTAGGTCTGCTCTATACCAATCTTAGCATACCCCCCTGAGTCCCCTTCCCTGTTTCACACCTGGTAGTTTGGTGGATGGGACTACCAGCTCTCTGTAACCTAGAGGGCAACCAGTGGGTCCGTCTCCTCTATACCATGTTTCTTGTAGGATGACAATGTCTGTATTTCCGATTTATTTGGTGATTGAAGTCCAGGTTCCTGCTCTTTAGGCCAAAGGCAGATGACCTCAGGCCTTGGATATTCCAGGATGGAAATAGTGAAGGCTTTGTGTTCCATAAGTGTCTAATGTTGTTGGTCGTTGTAGTTTGGCCACAGGCCAGTAAGTGTGAGCCAGAGCCTGCTGAGCATCTGGTACATGCCACTGGCTTGGGCTAGTGTAAGAGTGGGGGTTGGGCCTGTTTGCCTGCTCACAGCCTGGGCGTATGATGTGACTTTCATGTTGAGGCCCTCTTTGCAAGAGTGGGGGGCATGGGGGTGGGTAGGAGGGGCATAGGTCTGATCTGAGGGGGCCTAAATGGAGTGTGGGCATGGTTGACTTGGTGGGGTGTTAATTGGTGGGGGGTGGGGGTGTAGATGTGGCTGATGGTTGCTGTGGTCTGGATGTAGGTCTCTCGGCGGGGGTCCTCTATGTGTAGGTCCGGGGGGGGGGGGGGGGGGTGGTCCTGCAGGTCTGGGAGAGTGTCTCGCTGGTCCGGGGGGGGGGGGTGTCTGTTGATCTTTTGCTCCTGTGTGAGGTGTTGGGTCTGCGGTTGAGGGCGATATCCTTTAGGGTCCGGGCGAAGGTGGGCACTGCTGCCTTGTATAGGTGGACCTGGTTGTAAAGGCTGTTCACGTCCAGGGTGGAGTCGTGGGCCAGGTAGACATTTGGTTTTGATGCACAGTCGGGGAAATACGGGGCATTTAACTGATTGTGTTTACCCAAGGGTGAGTTTTCGTGGTAGGGCGGGAGGGTTGAGGGATAACCACTTGGCGTGGGGGGGAAAGGGAGAAGAAGCTTTTCTACACTCCTTGAGTGCTGGGCACCTTTGGTGTTTCAGGGTTTGTGCCGTGGATCATAGGGGCAGTAAGACAGAAGACCGTCCCTAGGGGAGAGGAGGTGGTGGAAAAGGCCAGGGGGAAGAAAAGGGGAAGAGAGAGAGGACAAGAGGGGAGAGGCGGATGACGAGGGTGAGAGGGGAGAGGAAAAAGAGGGAGGTTGGGGGAGAGGGGAGAAGAGAGAGAGAGAGAGAGAGAGGCAGAAGGAGAGAGAGGAAGAGGGAGAGGAGAGAGAAAAGATAGGGAGAGAGCAAAGAGAAGAGAGAGAGAGAAGAGAAGAGGGGAGAAGAAAAAGAGGAGAGAGAGAGAGAGAGAGGGAGAGAGAAAGAAGAGGGGAGGGAGAGAGAGAGGAAGAGAGGAGAACGAGAAGGAGAGAGAGCAGCGACAGCGAGCTCGCGCGCAGAGAGAGCGAGGAGATGCGGAGAGATCGAGTAGAGGAGCGAAGATGAGAGAGAGAGAGAGAGTGAGAGAGAGAGAGAGAGAGAGAGCAGAGAGAGAAGAGAGAGCGAGAGAGCGGGAGAGAGAGCGAGGAGAGAGGAGAGAGAGAGACGAGAGAGAGATCGCTCTCTCTCTCTCTCCTCTCTCTCTACTCTCTCTCTCTCTCTTCATCTCTCTCTCTTCTCTCGCTCTCTCTCGATCTCTCTCTCTCTATCTCTCTTCTCTCTCTCTCTAGGTGTAATGGTAAGTCCCTGATGTACCTGAAGTGTATAATGTGTGTACTGGTATAAAAACTGTGTGTGTTCTCTATAGGTTTGACATGCGTACTGTGCGTGTGGACTTTGTGGAGTGTCTGATGCGTTTCCTCCCCACTGAGGGAGAGATTAAGATGCTACGGCAGTACGAGAGGGACAGAAAGCCAGTGGAGGCACTGAGCGATGAGGACCGTTTCATGTTGCAGTTCAGCCGCATAGAGAGACTGGCCCAACGCATGTCCATCATCACCTTCATGGGCAACTTCCAGGACAACATACAGATGCTCACACCGGTACACACACCACACTGTGATACACATACTGTTACAGGTCCACTCATAATACACATAACATAACATAATAACATTCTATAATAACTTGATTGTTGGTTTGGTTTCTGTCCAAAGCAACTCCACGCAATCATCGCTGCTTCTGTGTCCATCAAGTCCTCCCAGAAACTCAAGAAGATTCTAGAGGTGAGTGTGTGTGATCTCTCTGTCTCTCTCTCTCTCTCTCTCTCTTTTTGTTCTCTCTCTCTTTTTGTTCTCTCTCTCCTCTCTGTCTCTCTCTCTCTTTTTGTTCTCTCTCCTCTCCATCGCTCTCTTCTCTGTCTCTCTCTCTCTTTGTTCTCTCTCCTCTCTTTTGTCTCTCTCTCTCTTCTGTCTCTCTCTCTCTTCTCTCTCTGTCTCTCTCTCTCTTTTTGTTCTTCTCTCTCCTCCTGTTTTAACTGTATATGTGTGTGTTTCTCAGATTATCCTGGCTCTGGGGAACTATATGAACAGCAGTAAGAGAGGAGCGGTGTACGGATTCAAGCTGCAGAGTTTAGACCTGGTAAAACACACACTCTACCCAACACACTATTTCTAATGTCTAACACACACTACCCAACACACTCTTTCTAATGTCTAACACACACTACCCAACACACTCTTTCTAATACCTAATACACACCTTCTGATTCCTAACACACACTACCTAATATACATATCTTTGTGATACGTAACACACACATAATACGCTTGATACACACTTTTGAATGTAAAATACACACCAGAAGGTAATATGTGTGTTCCTCCCAGCTGCTGGAGACTAAGACCACCGACAGAAAGCAGACCCTGCTGCATTACATAGCTAACGTGGTGAGAGAGAAATACCCTGGAGTCGCTCTGTTCTACAACGAGCTGCACTATGTAGAGAAAGCTGCTGCAGGTGAGTGTGTGTTTGTCTTGGTGTGTCACAGTTCTCTTCCTCTGGAGAACGTGGTGTGTGATATTAAGGAACGAACCTATTATATTGTGTGTGTGTGTGTGCCAGTGTCCCTGGAGAACGTGGTGTGTGACGTGAAGGAGTGTCAGCGTGGTATGGAGCTGTCGTGGAGGGAGTACAGTATGCATGGCCACAACCCACTCCTCAAAGACTTCATCAGCAAACATGAGACCCGCCTGCAGAAACTACAGGAGGACGCACGCATCGCACAGGCAAGAACACACACACACGCACCAACACACACAGGTATCTCAGATACATCACATAACAAAGTGGTATATGACCATGGTGACCATCGTCCTGTTTTCTGACCCTGGTTGTGTCATGGTTCTCAGGATGCATTTGACGATGCGGTGAAGCACTTTGGGGATAGCTCTAAGACCATGCCGCCCTCTGTCTTCTTTCCTGTGTTTGTACGATTCATCAAAGCCTACAGGGTGAGCAGAATTTGTGTGTTTGTGTGTGTGTAGCTACAGTATACATAAAGATGCTACTCAAAGCTGAACTTAATGTGTGTGTGTGTGTGTGCGTAGCTGGCGGAGGAGGAGAATGAACAGAGGAGGAGGCAGGAGCAGGCGTTGATGGAGAAGCTGGAGCAGGAGGAGCTGCAACAGGAGCAGGAGGAGCCTAAGGTACAGCCCCGTTACCATGGAGACAGGCCTGCCGGTCTGTCGCCATGGATATGACAGCATCACCTTGACTTCACAGATACAGTATCTGTTCTGTGGAATGGAAGGACTGATGTTTTCTCGTTCCCTCTCTTTATCTCTCTCCATCTTTCCTTCTCTACTCCTCACACATACATTGACTCACCAACACATATCTCCTCTCTCTCTCTCTCTCTCTCTCTGTCTCACACACACACACACACACAGTCCCCGTCCAACCGTCCAAAGCAGCGGCAGCAGGAGTCCCTGATCACAGAGCTGAGGAGGCGACAGGGTGGTAAAGACAGCAGACATGTCTACGAGGGCAAAGATGGAGCTATAGAGGACATCATTACAGGTACACACACGCGCACACACACACACACACACACAGTAGTTTAGTGCTGTGTGCTGTGTTTTGATTGGCTGTTTTCTGTCTGCAGTGCTGAAGACCGTCCCTTTCACTGCCAGGACGGCCAAACGCAGCTCCCGCTTCTTCTGTGATCCCGCCCACACTGAATAACACTACTAAACTCTCAGAGAGAGATAGAGAGAGGGTAGAGGGAGAGAGAGGGAGATGAAGAGGAAAAAATATACTCTTCGAGAGAGATATACAGGGTAGAGGGGAGAGAGAGGGTGAGGGAAAGCTAGGTGGGAGAGCTAAAGGGGAATAACAATGAGAGGAGAGAAGCATGGGGGAAAAGAGCGGCAGTTAGAGAGAGAGAGAGAGAGAGGGAGAGGAGAGAGAGAGAGAGAGAGAGAGAGAGAGAGAGAGATCAAGATGACCTGTGACCTCACCTGTCTGGTCTGATATCACTGCCCCCCCCCACCCCCCATCCCCTCTGTGTCACTTACACATGTTATGAAGCTTCTTCGCTGATTATTACTGTTAATAACCCTCCTATAACCCTGGAATCAACCTGCAACCCACCATGCACTTTGACTTTCTGTCCTCTAAACCCGAAGACTGTTGAAGGGGGTCGGGTGAGAGGGTGAGAGGGAGGAACTTGATATGCGATGACAGTGACTGGACATTTAGTAGCAACACAGTCTGGTCATTTACTAGCTACATAGCATTGCCAGTTTATCAGTTAATATTAGACATGACAAGCAAAACAGAACAGCAAAAATAAACAGTTGTTTTTTGTCCAATTAGTATTAGTGATGTACAGTATGTGTCTCTAAAGCTGTGTGATGATGTCAGCAAATGACGTGATCGCTGTCATAGCATATTGAGAAGGGAGGGGGAGAAGTTCGAATCGTTTCTTCTTGTTGAACATTCCAACCAATTCTAATTGGTAATGGCATCACAAAGGGTTCTTAACCCACTCCTATCCAGCTGTAAGATGCCAGAATTGAACACTGAGAATAGTGTTCGAAAAGCTCACACCTACAAGGGTCCCTCTCCTCTGTCTGCTGCTGTGTGCCAGTGAAACTTGTACAGCGCTCGCTACGTTCACTACATTGACTGTGTTTACTATTTACTACCTTTAACCTCCAACAGGGTTTTTCCAAAGCTCAAGCCCTCCAGTTCCTCAGTCCTGCTGGTTTTCCTTTCTCCCTGGCACTTGATTGATCGTTTAGTGTTACTGATAATGATTGGCTGTAGAGTGCACACACACCTGGTTTCCCAGGTAGAAATCAGTCTCTGATTAAACGAGAAGTAAGAAAACCAGTAGACACTGTGGCCCTCGAGGACAGGAGTTGATACCCCATACTACCCTCAAATAAAGGTCCCTGTCTTATCCTTGCCTGACCATCCAGTGGGCTGAGTCCCAGTCTGTTTCTGCTTTATAGCCAACTACTCCTTTGTTGTGGTCTTGTCAAGGTGAGGTAAAGGATGTAGTGTTCTTGAATGCAGAAACAGTCTGGCACCTAGGCTACTACATCCCCCATTATCTTTTCTGGCCAACTTTTGGCAAGACTCGAGAGGGATAGCTCCATTTCATAAAAAAATCATAAAAAAATGTAACTGCAAAAACAACAGCACAATACTTTTCTACGTGTATATATATTTTCTAGGGAATCCCGCTCGTTGCTTTTATCCCCCACTCCCACCCCTGCTGTTTGTCAGTGTTGATGTTAATTCTTAATCTGCACATGTTGTGTAAATAAACTGTATCCAGTCAGACTGTGTGTCTCTGTGTGTTTGCCACTGGAAGACCCTCACTAGTAACTTTGAACATATATTTATATCATAAAATTCATTTCCATAGTAAGATTTACATTAATCCAACAACACAATATATATATACTTTAACACATATCACCGGGAAAAACTTCTGAAAAACCGCGAATGGTAATCAAATAATCTTTGGCGTTAAATTGTATCATCTCGTCTCCATGGTGACACCGAATTCAGCGTCGTCAGACCAAAATGTGTGTGGGTGTGTGTGGGGAGGGGTTACATTTGAGTGACATTTGCTTCATTCAATCGATAAACTGGAAATTGCGAAATCAACTTACATCCGCCAATAACGTTCATTGGAAGTATGGAAGCGATGTTTTCATTGGTCACGACGTTACTTCCCGTTTCAAACAAAACCCGCCAGTTCCCGTTTATGCTAGCGCCAGTAAAAAAAGTTAATGTAACAAAAGCTTCAACTTGACAACATCAACTAGTTTCGCTCAAGATAGTGCTTCAGAGAATGCTTCAGACATTTTTTGCACTCAAAGTTGGTGCAGTTTGAAGATAGTTGATTAGGGCTACTCTTGGAAAGAATTTGTTAGCTGTTAGCTACCGTCGTTTTTATTCCTTTGATTTGGACAGCAGTTGGCTAGCCAGCTATGCCAAAGCAAGGGCTTGCTAGACACAAGGTAAGACATCTCACCTATTCACAATGTCCCTGCGAACTGGTTCTTAGCCTCTTCCTGAAAATGACTGTAGTTAGCCTCATACAGTAGTGTCTAGCTTTTTCCCCTAGCCTCTCAGGGAAAGGACACCATTTTAGAGCGTATTCATATTCAGCTCCTGTTTTTGACTAACAGGTGATATCCTCTGGAAGACTAACTGGAGGTGGGAGGGGCCAGGGCTCAAAGAAGAGGTAAGTCAGGGCTGTCAAACTCGTTTAGCCCCGGGGACCGCATTCGGTCTTCAACGAGGTCCGGAGGGCCGCACTGAAATATTTCCTCGCCGCCAAAACTTGCAAAAAATAGTCCTCTGTCCATCGTTTTTGGAATTTAAGGCTCCCCGACTGTCTAGCTTTCATTTCGGTTATTATTAGCGAGCAGATTGGCATTTATTGTCATGAATCTTGCCCTGGAGGCAGCTCTGTAGAGTGGTCACTAGCTGGCACAGGCATACAAATCAGATTTGAAACCTAACCCTGTTACAGAGTGTCATCATATCCATTCACTGTCACTCTGTTCTGTAGGGGAGCAGGGCGTCCACTAGTAACTTCTACTGAGCCGGCCTATTCCCTCTACTCCACCGACTCAGAGAACCAGGTAATAACACATCCATAAACAGTCAGTAGCAACTTTAAAAACAAGCCTATAATGTGTAATATATTAATACGAGTTATAATCACCTAACAGTGATTATATGGTAAGTTGTAACCATGTTTTGCATCTATGCTCTCTCTAAGGTGACAATCATTCACAAGGGTCTGGATCGGTGTGCTACACTGCTCAATGGCATTCTCCAGGCAGAGACAGCAGGTACCAGTCAACTATTTACTCTGTTTCCACAGAACCTTTACATTTCTAGTTTAAATTATTGACCAAAGTGTTTGCATTGTGTGATAGAGGCCAAGCCAATCTCCGTCAGGGGAACAGGGAAGACTCGAGCCGCCAAATCCCGACCGCTGTGTACTCTGGGAAAGGAGAGAGTAGACGCAGAGAGGAGGAAGCAGACAAAGAGACCTGTCACTCAGACCGCTAAAAAAACAGGTGGGACCTGTGTGTGTGTGTGTGTGTGTGTGTGTGTGGTGTGCAAAAAGTAATACCTCTCTCTGCTCCAGCTCCCGTGCAGAAGACGATCCTATCATCCCTGTCGTATCCTGGGATGAGGAACAATATTCAGAGTTCAGCCGGAACGTCAGAACCGGGGTCAGACGCTCGTTTTAACTGTCGCCTGACCACCTCCACCCCCACCCTGAGTCCCCAAAGACTCCCCCCTAACAACACACTATCGACACTACCCCCAGGCCCCTCACTCCCTCTAGCCCAGCCTGGAGGCTCCATCTCTGGGGTGGCATCAGTCCACCTGGGGGGCTCTACCTCCACAGCTCCGTTAGCTGCTCCTGGAGCTGTAGCTACACCTCCACCCACAGGCCCAGTCCTCTCTCTCCTCGCAGCCCAACCAGGAGGCTTCATCTCTGGGGTTGGAGGTCCGGCTGCCCAGGGGAGATCCAGGTCCTGTAGTCTGCACCTTGGTGCTCTCTCTGTGGAGAGGCTAGCTCTGTCTGCCCCCCTGCCCTCTGACATCTCTGTGTCTGGAGAAAGTGGACATCCAATCTCTTATTCCTGCTCTCCCCCTCGTCAGGGAACACCAGTACTCTTCTCTGAAATTCATCCTCACCCCCAGCCTCACCCTCAGCCTCACTCTCACCCCCAGCCTCAGTCCCAACCTCACCCCCAGCCTGAGCCCCAATCTCACCCCCTTGCCAACACTCAACCCCAGTCTGCCCCAGATGCTCCATCCCTGGGCAGGGGGGGTCAGCTGGATTCTACCCAGGATGGAGAGGCCTTAGCCAGGGAGGCATGGGGCCACATGGAGGGTAACGCTGGAGAGGAGGAAGAGGAGTGTCCCGTGAGAGACACCAGTGCCCAGACCAGCTTTAACATACAAACACACACCCAGCTGGCATACACACACCCACACACACACAAAGATCCAGTGCCTGTACAGGCATACTTACAACACACACATCCAGGTGTGGCTCCCAACCACACACACTCCTACACACGCATGGCGCTGGCAGTGGGCTGTAAGGGCTGTAGTCCAGAGGAAACGGCTCGTCAGGTGATGACTGTTCAATACCTCCTTGGAGAGTTGAAGGCTCTGCTCGCTGGCCAAGGTAATCACTCAATCAACCAAACTGTCAAAATAATCAGTCAACTAATCAGTCAGTCAAAATGACTATTTAATCAAATGTTAATGATCTCCGCCACTCTCTCTCTCTCTTTCACTCTCTCTCCTTCAAACCATTTTCCTCCCTCTCTCTCTCCCCCCTCCCCCTCCCCTCTGTAGACGGTGTAGCAGAGCGTCTGGTGGGTGAGCTGGAGCAGACAGTGTCTCTACTTCCTGTCATGGTGGGCAGCTCTAACATCCAGGCTGAGATTGCTCTGGTCCTGCAACCTCTACGCAGTGAGAACGCACTGCTACGCAGGTCAGGACCATCCCCATCACCCAGGTCCTGGTGTGAGTGTTTCATACAGAAGGTTGATCATTTTAACGCATGTGTGTGTGTGTTCAGGCGTCTGAGGATAGTGAACCAACAGTTGCAGGAGAGAGAGAGAGCAGAGAAGGAGGCCAGATATGTCCACTGTGACAATGACGGTAAGATAAACTGCCCGACACTCTTTCAACTGTCTATCAGTGTGAGTTTATTATTTTGTGTGTCTGTATCTCTAAGTATCTAACCTCCTCTGTCTCTTAGTGTCGGCTCTGCAGTCGGAGCTCAATGACGCTCACACAAGTCTGCAAGAGCTGCAGCGCGACAACACTGAGCTACGGCAAGCCCTGGTGGACACACACAGCCAGCTGCAGCAGAGTGAAGCGGAGTGCAGTCGCATCAGGAAAGGTAATAGATGAGGGGGAGAACGTACTCAACTTCTTTTCTATTTTCTATCTCCAGAATCAGGAGGAGTCATAAAATACATGAAGATCAGGGCCTTAAACTGGTCCATATTACGCTGAGATTAAAGGATCTCTGTGGTGTCTGTGTGTATTATCTAATATGGATATAATCTCTTTATATAAGTGTATGTGTGTGTGTGTGTGTGTGTGTGTGTAGATGTGCAGTCTGCTCTGGCTGATGTGCAGGGCTGTAACAGCAGGCTGGAGGAGTGTCAGAAGGAGAACGCTGCACTGGCCCTCAACATCCAGAAGAGGGAGCAAGAGATCCACACACTACAGGAGCACCTCAGGTGTGTGTGTGTGTGTGTGTGTGTGTGTACTTTGTAATAATTGATTGAAGGAGTTTTTATTTTTATTTTTTACTGACATTCTTTCTCTATCGACCTGTCCCCTCTCTCTCTCTCTCTCTCTGTCTTTTCCTCCTGCTCGTTCTTTCTACCCTTCTCTCTCTCTCAGAGCTCTACAGGTCCCTGTCGCTGAGTCTCCCACTGTGACTGACATCCCTACGTCCCGCCTCCCTCTCACTAAACGAGCTCTGGACCAATACCAGGACCAGCAGGGTCCGTCAGACCACCCAGTCAGCCAATACCTGTGGTCGCTGGAGCAGAAGGGGTGTGGTTCTGTCTCCCTGCCCTGTAAAGGCCCTGAATGCAACTATACACACCAGCAGGACTTCAGTGTGTTTGCGCCAGGTGGTCCGAGTGTGTGTGCGTCTGCGAATCAGGACATGAGTGTGTGTGTGGCTCTGGAAAGAAAAGCCACCCCGCCTTTGGCCTTCGCCCCCCTGAGAGAGAATGAGAGGTCACCACTTCCTGTTGAGGGGTCACCGCTTCCTGTGAGGATGTCACAGAGAGGGGGGTCACCGCTTACTGTGATGTCACAGAGAGGAGGAGGAGCTTATGCTCAGGGTCAGAGGTCACCGCAGGGTCTTCAGAGCCTCAGTGTTGCCCTCGAGAGTTTCCCTCAATTAAAAAGCCTATTTTCTAATCTCCACCAATCGAACGGACTCTGCTCTAATGGCGCTGGACCCTCTGACCTGTCCCAGAGTCACCGGCGCCGTCTGGACATGGATATGGCATCACCGGGTAAGGGGCAGAACTCTTCACTTGACTCCACCGGCCTCTCCTTATGTGAGGTCAGATCCTTGGCTTCTGATTGGAGCGCAGGGTCAAGCTCGACCTTTGACACGCGTGACGAGCAGGAGTTCCGGAATGGGCTGGCCGCTCTGGACGCCAGCATTGCCAGCTTGCAGAGAACTATAAAGCAGGACCTCAAGAGATGAGACAGACAGAGACACATGCAATCACACACACAGCGAGGTAGTCTGAATCTACTCCAATGTAATAAAATAACCAATGTATTTTTCTAGGTTTTTTTTTTTTTTTTATTGTACTTTATTTGAATAAAATGGCAAATAAAATATGTATTCTTTATTTGTTAATATTTATTATTTACTTTATAGACTGGTTAGCTGAGAACTTCACGAAAACGAAGCACAAACTTCAATGGGGGAGAAGGCCATGTGTTGGTCCTCTGTAGCTCAATTGGTAGAGCATGGCGCTTGTAACGCCAGGGTAGTGGGTTCGATCCCCGGGACCACCCATACGTAAAAATGTATACACGCATGACTGTAAGTCGCTTTGGATAAAAGCGTCTGCTAAATGGCATATTATATTATATTCTGGGTGGCCAGATGGCTAGCAACAATGACAAGAAACTGCCATGTGGGGAATTATAAGCGGCTCATTTCAGCTAGTTGTATTTTCTTTTTGATACCATGTCTTTTTTTGAGGTGTTTTGACAGATGTCACTTCAGTGGTAATATGGCTCAAATTCGCTAGCTAGCTAACCAACAACTGTAATGATGTATTTGAGAGACAAGTGCTCAGAGGGTAGTGCATACGGCCCAGTACATCACTGGGGCCAAGCTTCCTGCCATCCAGGACCTCTATACCAGGCGGTGTCAGAGGAAAGCCCTCAAAATTGTCAGAGACTCCAGCCACCCTAGTCATAGACTGTTCTCTCTGCTACCGCATGGCAAGCGGTACCGGAGTGCCAAGTCTAGGTCCAAAAGACTTCTCAACAGCTTCTACCCCCAAGCCATAAGACTCCTGAACAGCTAATCATGGCTACCCAGACTATTTGCACTGCCCCCCCCACCCCATCCTTTTACGCTGCTGCTACTCTGTTAATTATTTATGCATAGTCACTTTAACTCTGCCCACATGTACATATTACTTCAACTACCTCAACTAGCCGGTGCCCCCGCACATTGACTCTGCACCGGCACCCCCCTGTATATATAGCCTCCCTACTGTTATTTTATTTTACTTCTGCTATTTTTTTCTCAACACTTTTTTTGTTGTTGTTTAACTTTAACTTTTTTGTAAAAAATAAATGCACTGTTGGTTAAGGGCTGTAAGTAAGCATTTCACTGTAATGTCTGCACCTGTTGTATTCGGCGCATGTGGCCAATAAAATTTGATTTGATTAGATTTGTACAACTTAATTTATGTTTTCAATAAACATTGGAGACGAAATATAGTTCACATGTTATCAACAATATATGCCAACCCTGTCTCTTTTGCCCCATAGTTTTGTTATTAAACAACCAACCCGTCATTTGAATTAAGGGAGAAGGAAATATGATGTATTGTAAAGAAAGAATGGGAATTGTGCCCTGCTAACTGTAGTCGCACATTAGTGACGTAAGGAGTGTTGCTGTAGAAACAAGTTAAGCTTCCTGGTCCGTGCTTGTGGCTGTTGGCAACAAGAAAGCACGAAAATTGATTTCTATTTGATCGCGTCTGATTTCATTCGAAGAATAATGTAGCTAGTCAATTTTGTATATGGTTTTATACTTCAGATTTGGGAGCGAAAGATTACTGTAATAAACTCGGGATGAGTTTCGCTAGAAATGACACAGACGCCGGGCTACGGGCACTGGTCGCGAGCACAAACATTAAGCCAGAGCAGAAGGTTCCTCAAGTTCTCTCAAAATTACAAGGTTAAATTAGTTAGCTAACTCCTTTATATGCAAAAACGTGTTATTTGACTTTGCTTGCACGTGTGTGTCATTCCTGATACCCAACTAACTATCATTCCTTATTTTTCGACATTGAAGATATTCTGAATAGGATATCTGTCCAAGACGATAGAGAGTTGGGTGCGTTCAAGAACGCCTTGTTCAGCCATGGCATACTTCAATACTGCGCAGGAGACGCCCTCAAACTGAACTATGCCAAAGTTGAAGGAGGCTACGCAACTGCCACACAGTTGGCAGAAATTCTCAGGTACGATTTTAGAATCTTGAACCACACCAAAAAGATATAACAAAGTCTGTGTTGACTGTACTAAAACAAACAACCCTAGACATGACACTACCAATGGACAATGCCTACCCCAGATACTTCTTCAAGGCCCCTGATAGGCCTAGGATGGAATAATAATTGATGCAAGCAGATCTATGAGGTGGGGGGGTCATATGTATGTAAACTTTAGCTAGCAGTGGTTTGGCATTGATTTCTTTGTGTGCATATGCATTCTCCTTTAGCTCCTGCTGTGTGGGTGTGGACCTGGGCGGAGACACTGAGGCCTTCCATAGGCGGCTGCTCCCGTCCGTCACAGACAGCCTGCTGTCATTGGCCAGTCGGCTGATGAACAGAGCTTTGGCGGTAAGGGACGTAACATTTAAAGTTTGGAATGTCCTCAACAAAAATATGTCTATTGACATCATCTCTCTCTCTCTCTCTCTGTAGGAGAATGGGCAGCGTGAGATGTTTCGTTTCTTCAGGAAGGTGATGGACTCTGTGTGTTGGCTTCTGAAAGCCCATGGTCACCTGGCCACACAAGGTGAGATCTAACGTCCAATACTTTTTTTTAAATATATTTTTTTTAAATGCCAAACAGACCCCTAACCCCTATCCCTTACCTAACTAACAATGCACACCCTTCTTTCTTCTCTCTCTCTCTCTCTCTCTCTCTCTCTCGCTCTCTCTCTCACTCAGTCCTGCAGTCAGACCACTATGAGAGGATGTTAATGAGTGAGGAGGAGAGAGTGGGAACCGTGTGTGTGTCACTGTGGCATCAGCTTCTGACAGCCAACAGGTAGCGTATTACCACACACACACACACACACACACACACACACACATCAATTCATTACCCCACTCTCTCTCTGTAGTGAGTTAGTAGCAGGTTTGGGAAAAGGCCCCTTGTCTGTGATTCTGGATGACGTCGTGTACAGAATGGCTCACACATCCAACCCTGTTGTGGGAGGGGCAGCAATTAGGACGCTCCTCCTGGTTGCCCGGCAGCAAGAATCCGCCCTGCAGCTTATCATCCACAGGTTCAAAGGTCAGGGGGCAGGGTTTGCATATTTTCAGGCTATGAACTAAAAAAGGACTTTCATGCGTAGACTTTATATGCTTGCAAAAGCAATCATGACGTTTTTTATGGTTTGTGTGTTGCAGGGTTGGAGGGCATGATTGGTCGAGAGTGGAGGGGGCGGGGCTTCGATGAGGAAGTGGACCAGCTGATAAAGCTGCTGCAAAGAGAAGTCCCCAAACCAGCTGATCACACAGAGGTAAAATATATTGTGTGTGTGCGTGTGTGTGTGCGTGCCTTACACTCTCTCTTTGTTGACAGACGTGGCCAGAGGAGTGTGTGAGAGCGGCGTGTGTGATCCAGGCAGCATGGAGATCCTATCAGACCAGGAGGAGAGTGAAGAGTCTGCCCAGAGCTGTCAGAACACTGCAGAGGAGCTTCAGGTGTGTGTGGCCGTTACTTTTTCACCAATCTATGATCGTGTTTTGTATCTCTGTTAAATGTTTTGAAATTCCAGGGCTCATCTGTAAAAGAGACATTGGTCTCAGCATGACTCAAAATAAAGGTTAAATAAATACGATAATAATAATTCCACAGACATTTCACTGTGTGTGTGTGTGTGTGTGTGTGTGTGTAGGGAGCGGCGGCGGAGGAGAGTGCAGCAGGCTCAGGCTGTGTGCTGGGAGGAGGAGCTGAGACTACAGCTGTGTGTCAAGAGACAGAGAGCCAGGAGAGAGTTCCATCAGAAACAACTACAGCTACTGTACCTACTGCCCCCAGGTACACACACACTCACTCACTCACACACACACACTCACACACACACACACACACACACACACACACACACACAGGTACACACACTCACACACTCACACAGGCACACAAACACACCACACACACACTCACACAGGCACACACACACTACCTGTTACAGCAGAGACAGAGCAGAATGATGCCAGTTTGTTCGTTTAGTTAGGCCTGCCATCTACAGCCTTCACATTGTGTGCGTGTGTGTGTGTGTGTGTAGGTCAGGTGCAGCAGTACCTCGGGGAGGTTGAGAGGCAGGCTGCGATACGGATCCAGAGGGTTTGGCGAGGCCACCGAGAGAGACGGAACTTCCAGCAACGGAGAAACACACACACAGAGCACAGAGCTGCTGTCGTCCTGCAGAGAGCAGTATTAACAACACACACACACACACACACACACACACACACACCACACACACACACACACACACACACACACACACACACACACACACAGAGCACAGAGCTGCTGTCGTCCTGCAGAGAGCAGTATTAACACACACACACACACACTTCCAATAGACTACCGCTGTTGTAAGCTAAAGCTGAACACAACGATCAAACAAATGTAGCACGCAGCAGCATCTGAATTCATCTTGACAGTTTATTGTCCCTCCCCCGTTAGGTTCTTCGCTTTCTGAAGCGGCGGAGAGCTGAGAAAGCCCCTCCTTCCCTCTCTCCTTGGATTGGTCCTCGGGGTTTGACTGACAGTCGGAGGGCGGAGCTGAAGAGAGAGGTGGAGGAACATATTGCCCTGCACCCGGTGAGTCTGAATATTACTTCAAGTTGTGTGTCTGTTTGGTTTTACTATCCTTGTGGGGATCAGATGTTCTCACATGATAGTAAAACAAGGAATATTTGGACAAGTGGGGACATTTCACCGGTCCTCACAAGGAAAAAGTATATTTTAGGCTTAGGTTTAAGGTTACGATGAGGGTTTGGGGTTAGGGAAAATAGGATTTTGAATGGGAATCGGTTGTTTGGTCCCCACAAGGATAGGAGAACAAACGTGTGTGTGTAACGATCTGTCTCTGTGTGTGTAGTCCTCTGTGGTGTCTCTAGAGGACAGTAGGGAGCTCCATGCTCAGACCCAAGCCTTGCTGCTCCAGCATCTACAGGGGAGAGAGGCGGAGAGGAGAGAACACACACACACACAGGCCCTGCTGGCACAGATCAACACTGACCTGGAACTGCTGCTGAGTAGGTATCACACACACACACACACACACACCAGTCTCTCCTCTCTTCCTCTCCCTCCTTCCCTTCATCTATCTTTCTCTCTTAGATGCCCCCTCACTCAGTGACGCCACGGTAACCAACTGTGACGTGTTCAGGAGTCGCTCTGCCCCCGTAGCCGCCCGCGCCCGGCAATCCCACAATGCAATGCTCCAGGCCGGTCGCCTGCCTTGGTGGAAGATGCTGGGAGATGATGACATCACCTGTCCTGAATCAGACTCCGCCCACAAAGACCACCTGCTGGAGGCAGAGTTTAACTCACTGTATTTAGGAGGAAGCTGACGATGTTGTTCCACAACAGTATTGTAACGCTATTATAACATTGTCATAGGGCTGTTGTGATAACGTCATTATAACACTATGACGTCAAACCTGCTTTGGAATTCAACCAATCATGGGTTTCAGTCTGGACCGGGGTTAGTTGAAGCAGGTGTGTTGCTGCAGGGGAGTTTTCATCAGTCTCTGTGTGACTGGTCCCTTAAGGAAGAGTTTGTGTCTAAGTAATTGTAAAGCAATTTTGTGTACAGAAGTCTGCATTTAAAGTTTGTACTTTTCTACTATTATGTAATTGTGTGTCCTGGCTGTAGAGATGTTCAGTCATTTTGATAAGTAGAGTATTTATTTGTTGTCCAACAACTCACACGCCAGTGCTGAATTTGTGTGTTAACAGTGTACCCAGACTGCCTAGTGCTTACCCAACGCCAACAGTCATTATGTTGTTACACACACCCAGAAAACACACATACCAGAAAGATTTGATTGGCCAATGTTTATTTTCAGCGTATTACAATGAACAGCATTTATCAGACAGAAACATTATCATAAAGCTTACAAAATGAAGGCACAGACACATAACACATATTTTTCTGTACCGTAGTTTCACATAGTTATTTCTTCTGACTCCTGCATATTAAGGCTGGCAGTTTTACATAGCTTTTTACTAGGGCCCAGAGTTAGAATCTGTCAGGGCTGAACCACAAACAGAATGATAAGTCATTTGAAAGCAGACAGAGACATTTAGGGCTCGATTGAATCAGATCCGCTTTAGCTGACATCCTCATAGCAGTTGTTTTGGCGGTGTCGGTGGTGGAACTGTGTTAGAGCTGTCAGATCCACAAGCGGCTCCTGGCATTATACCTAAAGCGGACATTGTCATTGGCTGCACGGAGTCACATTAACAGAAATCCCATGCAGCCTTGTTCACAAGTTTGAACACTGGAATGTGAGATGTAATCTACACCTCCATTAAGATGATAGAAATCCTCATTTAGTTTAACGATTTTCAATTTGAGCGTCATTATTTCTATATAGCCTACACTTTCTCGTTCTGAACTTCTAATGCGGGTGTGGTTAGGCTCACCGATTTGATAGCTCCAATGCAGTCCCACCTCCCAACAACACCAAAACATCCGCTATGCAGGCGTCTGCTATTGCTGGTTAACACTTGATCTGATTGAATCTAGGCCTTTGTTTTTTGAGGTGCACATACACTAACACATTTGTTTGGCATCATATGCACATACACATTGGTCGCGTTGCCCTGCTCAGACGTTGCATTCATCAACCAATGGCTCCGTGCCACGTCATCGACTGTGCTGTCGGGCATCAGATTGCTATGACATATGATGTGGTTAGCTGATACTTAAAATACCTTTCCAGAAGATGTAAGATCTGGCATACGTTTGCAACGCCTTGGCAGAGGAACACCCAGCATCTAAGATGTTGAGTTAATTAAAGGCCTTCCGGTGCCGGGTCCCAGGGCAGTACTGATCATGCCCATGTGGGCATTGACCAATCACATCGTTTATTAGAAGGAATGGGTGGAGACAGGTGGCCAACCGGGCCCGCCCAGCCGGACATGATTGGGTGGCTGTGGGTGGCTCTCGCTGTTGATTGGTCCGTGAAGCTGGGCGCAGGGAGAAGAGGCGGTACTCCCGTCTGTACGCCCGACCGTCCACAGACACGGGTACTGACTGAGAACACACACCTTGCTTTATAAACAAAAACTGTAGATTCTAAAGAGCTATACCATTACTTAATCTATATCTATGTTTTCGTGTCGTACCTGCTGCTATTGGTGGACGGGGGTGAGGAGGGTGTGGTCACGGGTAGGGCTGAGGAGGAGGGGCCGGGGGAGGAGACACTGGACCAGCCATCAGGACCCCCAGACAACACCTGTAGCCCCTCAGACAGAGAGACTGGAGGGAGGGTTGGAGATGAGGGTGAGGCGGAGCGGGAGACAAAGGGGTGGGGAACAAGAGGGACAAGGGAACAGGTCAGGCTGGTGTGATAGCTTCATTTTTCAACAAAAGTTTTTAAAAGGGTGTGGAAGAGAGAGAGCTGGGGAGATGGCGGTGTGTCTCACCAGAAGTGTGCGTGCGGTGCGGCAGGTAGGAGGAGGGGTAGGGGGCTGGCCTGGGGGGGTAGTGCTTGTACCCATGAGAGGGGGCGAGAGGCAGACCCCCGCTATAGGGGAAGCTAGGACCCCCACCTGAACACAGCGAGTCTGGGTTAGACAGAAACCAACCACCTATAGGAAGAGGGAACACAAGGTTTAAAAGTGTATTATTGTTATTTAGTAGATTCAAATAATTCAATTTGAATCAAATTAGTCCTAAAGGCCCACTCACAGTGTTGAATTCCCATATGGCTATCAAATGGGGACTCCAATGGACTGTTCGGGTGGTTCCTGCAAAGAGAATAATTCAATGATAAGCTATATGAGTTCACTCTGTGAACTGGTGCGATTCAAATAAGCAAGAGATACAGCATTACAGTGACTAGTGTGAGACCTGTGCTAACCATGCTAATTGTGTTAGCAAATACGTGTAAACAGCTAAGGTAGTGTCTGTGTATGTGTGTGTGTGTCTGTGTGTTAGGAGCTCTAGTTTCTCTCACACACTTCACACTGCCTCTTCAACAAGCCTCACATAGAGATGGTGAACTAGGCTTTAAACAGCTAATAACGACCCGCTAATCACTTACCATTTCAGGAGCTAATGCTAGCCCACAGTGATATCATAATGGGACAAGCTAATGCTAACATGTAGTAATATCATAGCGATATCCTGGTGGGAAACCCTAACGCTAGCTGGTACAGATGAGGCCTTACCTCTCTTTGGCGTCCAGGAAAGCCTTAGCGAAGGGGTTGTATTTGATCTTCAGAGCAGTGATCTTCAGAGGGAAATAAACAATGTCACTGACTGTAACATACACACATTTTAGGCGCTCTGGCTTAATCAAGAAGTTTAATCGTGAACTCTGGATGATGACGCTGATTCAATGACAGTTGATATTGACAGTGTGTGTGTGTGTGTGTGTGTGTGTGTGTGAGAGAGAGAGACCAGTCACCTCTTCGTTCTGGTAGGCAGTGACAGCGATGAACTGTGTGTCGCTGAAAGAGACGTTAGTGACCATTCGGTGGCTTCCGCCCACTCTCACGATGTGGAGCTGAGGTTCATACTTATGGAGAGAGTTCAACATGATCTGGAGAGAGAGAAGGATGGGGATGGGGGAGGAGAGGAGAGGAGAGGAGAGGAAGAAATAGAACGAGAAGGGGGGATGAAAGAAGAGAATGGAGAGGGAGAGAAAGAGAAAGAAAGAGAGTGGGTACAACTCAGAACACTGGGTAGGCCTACATTATGACAGTTTGAGGGAGAGGTTTGCAGGAACCCCAAACCCTAAAACTAAGAACAAATAGACTACAGTCCTTACAATATTACTTCATTACTGTCCATTCTAGCATAAAATCTAGTCTCTGGCTCTCTCTCTCTCAATCCCTCACTCCACCAATTAACCAATTACAGCCCTCAGAGAGAGGACAAAACAAACTGTTTTTTATTCTAATTGGGAGCTTAGCTTCACCTCTCACACCAACCAGCTGCCCAGGGCTCTCTCTCTCTCTCTCTCCGTCTGTGTGTGTGTGTGTTGTTTTTGTTTGGTGTGTGTGTGTGTGTGTGTGTGTGTACACTCTAGTTGGAGTGTGTGTGGGCTTTTTAAATATGCTGTTTTTGCCTCCATCTCTCTATAAAACATCTGAAGGACTGATGGATAAATCAATTTTACATAGTAAAAAAAAAAACAGGCAATTACCATAATGTACAACTAACCACTGCAATTATTTAATTATGCCTCGGCTCTTCTTTACCGGACGCAATGCCAACACCACATTACCTGCCAGTCAGAGGTGTGTGTGTGTTTCTGTGTGTGTGTGTGCACGTGCGTGTGTGCGTCCGTATCTGTGTTTGTGTTTGTTTGGGTTATGGGTTCATGTAAATACCATTAAAAAAATTTGGCAGATCACAGTGGTTAGTGTGTGCGTATGTGGCCCCTGGAGGGCCTCCTGGAGTGGGCAGCTCTCAGCAGGAAGTGCATTAAACCTCAGAGAGCCAATTAAGAGCTGTTTATCTGGTTCCCGTGGAGACAGGGGCCACAGGGTGAAGTGGGCGAGGAGAGGGGCCCTAAGCAGGGCACTAATTGTATAAATGCACACTTGATGTTTCGCTTTTCGGGGAAACAAACAGAGATTAGGGGAAAGACATGGATTATGAAAAGATCCATGACTGAAGGGCCCCTCCACTGGAGATATAGGGCTGCGTTTACACAGGCAGCCAGATTCTGATATTTTTCCCAATTATTGGCAAAAGAGCTGATCTGATTGGACAAAAGACCAATTACTGGGGAAAAAAAGATCAGAATTGGGCTGCCTGTGTAATCGCAGCCTAGGTGGCCCTTAATTCACCCCCGCAGAAAAGGAAGACAACCGGAGAAAGGAAAATTGGAGAGTGGTTAGCAGTCTACTGCTAGAGGAGGAAGGTCGGGGATACATTATTTTCTATGTCTATTTATGTATATTATTTTAGTAGAACTTTAGAAGTTGCCTGAAGAAATATGAAATAAATAAAATGCAACAACATGAAGTTAGTGATGTATGTAGTGCAGCTGGGGATGTACTGTTGAGTTTTGGCTTAGCCCCAGAAACAATGTTAGCGACAATGGACTGACTGTGTGTGTGTGTGTGTGTGTGTGTGTGTGTGTGTGTGTGTGTGTGTGTGTGTGTGTGTGTGTGTGTGTGTGTGTGTGTGTGTGTGTGTGTGTGTGTGTGTGTGTGTGTGTGTGCCTGTGTGTATGCTCTACCTGTCCACCTCCGTTGAGCTTGTTGGTGAGTTTGACCTTGCTGAAGGAGACTGGTGCCTTCATCCAGTGGGCTCCGAAGTTCGGTGAGTCGGGATGGATGTACACACAACCATTACCGGCAGGCTCCGGTTTACCGGCTGTAACCCACTCCCCGTTAACGTACTTCCAGCGGTGGCTGTCAGCTGGCTGGAAGTCCAGCAGGAAGGAGTACATGGCGTTGGGGTCCAAACCCGATACACTCACTTTCAGCACCGGAAACATCCGCCTGGAACACACACACACACAGTAGGAACGCACAAATGAATACACGTACACACACACACAGGCACGCAGTATGCACCCGCACGCACACACACACACACACAATCCAACTCTAAACTCGCGGTTTCAGACTTTTTTGACTTTTTTTCTGTCTCTTTTTACTTTTTAAAAATAATGTTTTGTTTTTCCCAAATAAAAAATGTTCTGAAGTGGTCAACGTGTAAATGGACAGACACCCACCAGGTGAGCTGACCTGCCACTAAAACCGGTCAAGCCGCCCCTCAGTGCATGAGAGGGTCGGCACAAAAGCGTCCATGCACCAGAAAAATCTATTAAACCGTCCTATACACTATGGGCATTACTGATTATAGAACGCAGATTTTTAAAAAAATAACATGTTTTCTTAATTTAAGAATGTGCCGATAAATATAGTCAGTAATAACCAGCTTGGCGAGGTTTGCAGTCGGAATGTTCCAAACTAATGTTTTGTAGACGAATCAAATAGACGATTAACATATCAAATGTTAATTCATAACATCAAAGACACCAGACTATACAATTAAATTGAATCAATTTTAATAACTCTGCATTTCGTATAAGCCTTAGGCTATAGCCTATAAGGGATCATGATAAAGGATTATGTCATTGACATTTTCAAAACACATTTTATGTCTCTCCTTCCTTGTCTTACAATATTTTCTGGTTTACTAAATTTGACCTGAACTTTCTCAAACTTAACTAACATAAGCTCAACATTTCTGGTTGTTAGAATGTGTTGCCCTTTTCTTCCGTAGACTATGACACTTTCCAGCTCTAATAAGTAGAAGAAAAAAACGTTCTGTCTATTCCTAAATAACGAATATTATTCAATAGCACTAGGTCTGAAATGACAGATAGGCCTATGTAATTAATAGTTTTCGCTTAGATCTAATTGTTATGAAATCGTAATGATTATATAGGAATAGGGCAATAGCTACGCTTATATACATTTCACACAAATTTGAAGCTGAAAAAAGGGCTGAATTAAAAGTTTCGATCAATATGCGTTTTGGAAGAAGTGAGTAATTGAAAATCGAATTATTAATTGAAATCGAATGGTCTCTTAATTGGGTAATTGATTAAATCCCCTCTAATATAACATACGTGTTAGAAGTTTTAGAGTGATATGTGTGACAGAGAAATATTGGTTTTTGTATAGGATTAAATTATCCTGCATGTGTTCATTAAATTAATTTAGCAATGGGTGGATAACTATAATGGGTGATCAAATGACCAAACTCTTGAAACTTGCATTTGGTGTTGTCTATATGTTTGTCTGTGAATATCCTCTTGCGGTTGAGGATCAATAAAGTATTTTTGACTATTCTAAAATTATCGTCTATCTCACTATCAGCTCGAGCTCACCTGCCGCTCTTGGTGACTATCATCTCATTGGTGACTTCCTTAAACTTCCGCCACAGTTCCGCTTCCTCGAGCGTCACCTTCAGCTGCTTCTCCGTGGGGTCCCCCTTCTCGCGCCCCGCTTGCAGCTCGCTCTCCACCACGCTTAGCAGTCGCGAGATACAGCACTGGCTGGCAGGACCGGGGCAGAGGGTACCCCCAGCCCCAGCCCCAGCCCTGCCGCTACCTTCTGCCAAACCCTCAACCTTCATTTGGGGACCTGAACGAGGCTAAAGGCTACCTCTCAAATAAGACTGATGTTTTCTCTAAGGAAAGTTTAAAATGAGGTCAAACCAAAAAAATATCGATAACTAATTAGCCTAAATATCTCACTCAACAGGTGATGGGGGAAAAACGTCGTTAGAATCGGTTAAATTGAAACAAAACAAATGATTTCCCATTTGGGGGTTTTAGCCATGAGGATGATAAGCTGCAGTTGAAAATCAATGCGACACTGGTGCTGAGCACAAGACAGGTTTCGCCGGCCGGTCATGTGATCAACTGTCACTAATTGACCGTTTATAGAGCGTCATCTGTCAAAGGGGTGAGAGAGGAAGAGCAAGAGAGAGGAAGAGGGAGGGAGAGAGATAACTTTTTCTTTGATGAGCTAGCCTAGACCTTAAAGGGGCAATCTGCAGTTGCTGCATCTAATTTTGGACTTATAAATTAATGATATATACCCATTGATTCTTAAAGAACATAACGTGTAAATGCCTCATGAGCTTAGTTCAACTGTAAAACCTCAACATAACCCAAATGTTAAGCTTGTAAACATTGTAAATGTAAACAAACACTGTAGCCTATAGCCTCAAAACATGCTTAAAACTACAGTGTTTATATCTTGGATGATCAGTCCTTGCATCCATAGCTTGGTCTATGAATTTGGGAGTGGTTACATTTCCCCAGGCACATCCCTCATCTTTTGACCAAAACAGAGGCGGGATTTTACTTTGTTATTGTTTCAACTAAGCTAAGGATATCCCCTTTAAGTCTTCAGGATTCCGCTCTCAAAAAGGTTTAGGGCTTTATAAAATATCCAAAGACCTATCAATAATATCAGGCTCTCTCTCATCTTGCGTTGAAATGCCATACGCCTATTTTACCACTTTTGTCAGTATGTTGACTTTTTAGGCGCAAACTTTCAGCACCATGGATAGCGAGCGTGTGCGTCCGCGGTGGCCAGAAGCCAAGTTGACTGGCTTTTCCGTTCGAAATGATCACAATTCCACAAAAAGACTAACGTCGCTTTCGTGGGCCTGTAGCCTTATTATCTAAATCATTATCCGTGACTAAGGTTAATGGTCTAACTAAAGGTACTCTTGGCAAGGAGAGAAATCAGATGCTTTTAGCGCACGGATCGAACAAGCCTCGCTCTCGTCCAAAACCACAGAAAAGCTTCTGAAGAAAATTAAATATAGCCTAGGTAATTTCCTACGGTAATTTTTTCGGATAATAATTCAGAATTAAGCCACGTTCCTGCTCTTAAACATATACAACGGGAGATAGGTTGTTAAAGAATGAACGACTGAAAACGTAAAAAGCTTCCCAGAACATTACACTCTTGGTCTGACGACCTACTGGGCTCAGAGCCAGTCCATTTTGACTACACTAATGTAGCCTTCTGTGTGTTGTCTAAAAAATCTAGACTTTGGGACTATAAAGTTCTATCTGCATTTTTGTCAAAATGTAGTCATTGACATAGCCTTGTTCTGTTCAATGTTCTCTACCTATACAGTAGTCTAAATACTCCAATTCATGTTAAATTCAAAATAATACACTATATACATTTCTGACACCATTCAAACCAATGAGGTTTCGGAACTTTAAAGCAAATTATGTCCGAATCATCTTTTTGCAGGTAGAACCAAGCTCTCGAAATGGTGTTGATTAAACCTGTTTGTGCACAGTAGAAGCTCCATGCCCTGCAATCTTGCCCTTAGAAAGCACCTTGCAACATGAGGGCCACCCGAGGAGGGAAGAACAAGAGCGAACGGTACAGGTCAGTGTCCGGAAGGGCTCGTATAGCGACACCCGATCCCCGCGGGCTGGCGGTGTGACCGAGCCGCCTGTGCGCTCGCAGCTGCAGCAATGTGTTTGGGGACAGAGATTGTTTAATCAGCGGCGGGCGGAGCGCGGAGATTAGGGGCTTTACTGATTTAAAACGCATAAAGGAGCGTCATTAACCGAGCACGAGGCAAATATCAAAAGGTGGGAAGCAAAGCACAGGTAAACCCACGACACACACACCTTAGACCTTTTGTACCAGGAATGCGTTTGTGTGTGTAGTGACCGTTGTGAGACCCCATCAGAACATACAAAGCCAAGGCAAAACAGGTGGCAGGCACAACTCTCTCTCTCACTCTGTAGTCAACATTAAAACACTCCACAATATAACAATTTATTTTATTTCTGTTGTAAGATGGTGAGTCACACACAAGGGAGAATAAGACATGAAATATGAGTCATAGTCACACAATACATTATCATTACACTTTAAAATATGAGTGTTGAATCTTCAATGGATTCAAGATGGTACAAAAAACAATCATGCTTTAAAAAGGTATTTCAAAAGAAAAAAATATTTATTCCAAACCTGTAACTACTTGGGCTCATACTAAATGTATATTAGACAAGTAGACTAACTATACTGTAGTCCTAAAACAATGTATCCTGAATATTGAAAATGTTATTCTATAAAACAAGCGTTTAATAGCATATATTTATGCAGATGAAACAAGCATCTATAGGGAGGGTTTTGTGAAAAAGAAGCCACTCAGGGGAGTTACAGTAGTACAGTATAAAAAGACAGTGATTCAATAGAAAACGGTTCTCTGCGTTTACATAATGTGAAGTAAGGCATTTCTCTTTTGCAAGTTAACATAAAAGTCACTCAGACACAGTGAGAGGGTTTGAAATGGTCGTGACTAGGGCAAGCTGAATCCAGAATTTATTTTATTTATGGCCAGAAAATTAACCATGAAACAGTTAAAACAGCAGTTAAAGAGAAATATTAACAGGAAGCATTATTTAAATAAAAATAACAAATTCCCCCAGAAATGATTAAAAAACAGAAATAACGTAAACTAAAATACCTGTGGAAAATTAAACCAAAATCAGTGATCATACTACTAACTAACCATGAAAGTTAAAACGGCAGTTAAAGAGACATGTTTACAGGAAATGTTTGTTGAAATAAAAAGAACTGAACAAAACAGACATTTTAAATAAAAGGTGAACAATTCAAGAGCACTTGAAGCAGTTCTTCCTTTCATTTTTCCCCAGTATCTATATCTATCCAGCTAGAAGAAAGTTTAACAGCAGGCACTTCAATTCAGACTCCTGGTAAGTGCACTTGGGATTAGGTGCAAAAAATCAACTAGGTACTACTGACTGTACAGATGTCCAGACCTGAGCCGTTGAAATGATCAGGAGTCATCTGTACAGTGTGAACACCTATTTAGGCAATAAGGCCCGAGGGGGTGTGGTATATGGCCAATATACCATGGCTAAGGGCTATTCTTCAGCACAACGCAATGCGGAGTGCCTGGACTGTGGTATAATGGCTCAAACCACCCAGTTTATACATGTAAATAAACACCTACAAAGAACTAGTGAAGACACACCATGTTGGCACCTAAATATAGACCTGAATAGTTTTGGACTGGTTTGATTTACAGTTAGAGAAATGACAGAGGTGGTACATTAAGATGAGCTGGACTCACTGTGTGGGAAAACAAAGAAAAAGGGACACAGACACTGACCATAAAGGGACACAGACACCGACCATAAAGGAACACAGACACCGACCATAAAGGGACACAGACACTGACCATTAAGGGACACAGACACTGACCATAAAGGGACACAGACACCACACCATATACACACAGAGAAGATAAGGCTTCCCTCACAAACAGATTCCTCTACACAACATCATCCCTCACGTACACTTCTGATCTGTAAAGCATTCGGTGACGAGTGTTTACTCAGTGGGCACCAGCCCAGCACACCTGTGTGGAGTCTGTGTGTTTGCCAGAGAGTTGAGGGCTTTAGCCGACCCCAAACACACACACACGTCATAACCCCTCAGAGGGAGAGAGAAAGGGGAGGATTGCAGCCTCACTTCAGACAGACAGAGAAGGCCTTTATCACCGCATCTCTGTGAACAAAGAAACAATCATTAGTAAAAGAATAAACACTCCAAAGTCAAAAGTTTGTCCGAAGTTTTCAGACTTCAAAAACGTAGCTTTAGGACTGAACTATCACTGAATGGGAAGGGATGATGTAATACTGGTTCCGTGTGAATAGGGCTTAAGGCTATGGATAGAGGTGGACCGGTAGTTACTGTAAACCAATAGGGCTTAAGGCTATGGACAGAGGTGGACCGGTAGTTACTGTAAACCAATAGGGCTTAAGGCT